TGTGGAATATGGGCTGCATTTTGGATCATCCAACCCTATGTAAAAATTTCATTTAGAATAAACCTACCAGGAGGAAATTATGCAGGCTGCCGTTGTGGACTTTCCTTCCATTTCTGGTGACCTGGCTGTTTTATTGACCCTCTGGCTTCCATACAGTGAGTCAAAGGTCTGGGACAAAATATGCAGATCATTAAAGATGGAGAAAAGTCAAATGTTTAGGTCAGTGACTCAAATTATTGAAGCAACAGAGTCAACACAAAAGCCAACTAGTATTCAGGAATAGCAGCTTTCATACGTTCCTTTAATATAAAAGAGTCATCCTACTATCCAAATCTCAGATACACTGGGGTTTATTGGTATAGCAGTTCAATCTCTGACCTTGGTTACTGCCTTCCACTAGATCAATATTAATGAGAAAGCAGATTACTAGCGTGGACCGGTCATCAACCAGTATTGCTTGAAGTGTAGTCACAATTTTGGAAGACAAAAAGATGTCCTTCTGGTCTCCTCATGAAGTTCATTAACGAGAAACAGACCTATATTCAGGATAAAAAAAAAAGCAATTGTGCTGTCCAGGCTGAGCAGCGTTCTATGGCAACCTTCAGAGTAGCCCTCACCACAGTATATGCACCCGCTATATGCATAACTGGCTAGATGTCTACAGATTGACAAGCAGGACCTAATGCACTATCAGGGCTTCAAACAGTAGTCTGATGGACATCTGCTGCACTGCAGGTTGCCATGAAAATCCAATGTGATCAGTAAAAAGGCCTCTTGTAATAATTGAATAGAAAGGGTCAGGGATGATTCCTAATGTCATAACTTCACCTTAAAATGTAATGTCTGGTAATGGACATTTGTTATTCAGTTCCAAGCCTCAGGTGTTCTCATATTGACAATGTATGTGCCCTCCTCTTACCAGGGAAGACATTTACTGACGGCAAGATCTGATTTCCAGAATTGTACACAATTGCTATAAACCAGTTGCTAGGAAACCATATACTGCTAATCCAAGAGATGTAAAACGATACGTAAACTGCAAACTTTCTGTAAGTTTCTTTAATTCTCAAAACGTGTATTTAGCACAACTTTATGACACAGGCTACAAAATATAATATAAATCCGACACGGGCTACAAATCTTCCTTCTCAGTTCCAGGCCTGGTGACATTTCTGGGAAATTCTGAGGCAGAGATTCTGTCAATGAACTGGTAGCCATTCCCTCATACACACAAGTCCGTACCCTACAATATACCGTACAAGGCGTTGTTCCAGGATTCTAGAGGTTGTATCTAGAGGCCTATTCATAATAGGACATTTAAAAAAACATATACTTGCTTATGTATGGTTTTATCTTAATTCCTTTTAATACTTTTTGAGATTTGTTTTTATTTGACTAAATTCATGTTTACAAGTTTCACACTTAAAAGGACAGACATTACACTTGTCTACATGCACTACTGCCACTTATTTACCCAGGGGGAAAAAAGGCAGTGTGCCTATGGTCATATTCATGCACAGCCTCATATTAAAGATTGATCATCATTTCCTCTTCGTTTACAATGAAAATGTATATAAAACATAATAAAACTTTCATGTGTGAGCGGGCCTCCAACCACGAAAATTAAGAAATCTCACATTTGCAGGGGGAAAAAAGTAATTTGCGCCAGATTAACTAAAGTGACTTACAATTCATTTTCCGAGGACACGGTTATCTTGCCTATGCAGGTCAAGGTGACACGGTCTACGCAAAGGGGCCCCCCTAATGTCCTAAAGGCCTGTGCTGATGGGTAAACTGCAGGTAAAATGTACCAGTCAAATTCTGAATGTGTTAAAACTGATTTCATCGGCACGAGCACAAAGCCCATTGACAGCAATCCCTTCTACTCATATTGGCTACACTCGTTTGTCCCTCATTTATCTGTTACAGCTAGTGATGAAATCAGTGGTGCCGGCAACCCGTGGAAGTGGGGACATGACTCTCTTGGTCAGGTGACAATCATCTCTGATTATCGGACTTGATAAACCTGCCAAGAGAGAATTCTGCTGGCTGCCATTGTTGACCTTCTGCCTAAGGCCCGGTTCACACCTGGGCGTTTTGTAGTGCGTTCCTACGCTCTGCAAAACGCTCAAACACCGAAATCCCATTATTTCCTATGGGTATGGTTCACACCTGGGCGTATTACAGGCCGTATGAACGCGCTACAAAACGTCCTACGCCCAAAGAAGTACAGGAGCTTCTTTGGGGCGTTTTTGTCGCGCGTTTCCATTGGGATACAGCCAGGTAGCCCTGGGAAACGCACATTTGTGGCACAGGTTTTTTTTACTGCGAATCGCAACACGTAACGCGTGACAAACACGCATATTCGATACGCCTAGGTGTGAACCCAGCCTTACATTTGGTGGCTAGGCTCATGCATTGTCACAGGAGAGCTTCGCCATACCCAGAAGTCCCAGGCAGCATCACCGACTGCAATGGAGGACAGAGTGGTGAGGGAGTATAAAAGGGGCTCCAGGGGAAATCTTGCAGGAACACCATCATTTTGCCTGCACTGACAAGGTGACAACGTTTCTACTTATACAATCATTCGCCAAGGAATTTGAAAGAAACAAAAACAAAGCTTCTTCATAACTGGATGTTTGAAGTGAACATATGCCGTGTACTCGACATATCCTTAGGCCTGCGTTTACTTCACACAACTATTTACAATGAGATAAAATAATCTTTCATGGGCAAGGCAGGTTTCAAGATTACTGGTAGTTTCCAAAATGGTGACCCCCCTTATGCAGACCACTCTCGAAACAGACGTGTAGGACAAACTGCTAGAACAGAGAACTGCAGCAACAACATATGTAGAAACTACATTCTAATTACAATATAGCTGTGTGTATAATTCTTTTATTTATTGTTCATCATCCCCTGCACAGACTACATTTTCCAGATAGCAAATTATTATTTTATTTCCCATCCAAAGAGGTCACAAATTCTTGTATGCCATAAGTGATTTCTGAATAGGAGTCCTGTCTGCACCGAAGCCTCCTCCAAGTGTAGACTCCAGCGGCAGGGATACCTCAGGCAGAATTTGGTACTGTCCAAACATCAATGGTAGTCTATCATAGATGTTGTGAAGGCTAATAAATAAATTAAAAAAAAATGTTGTATGGTCTTCATCATCTTCTGTATGTTCATGCTGAAATGGTGGGAGGTTTCTTTGATCAGGGCCAAGAGGAGGTGAACCCAGGCTTTGATGTATTCCTGGAAAGTCTAATGGAAACTTGTACTAAAAGAATACGGAAGCTGCCAATACTGAAGATTCTATTTGCCTGGCTATTGTGGTGATCCAATGGGTTCAATACTTTCTGAGACACTGACCTGGAACAAGTATGCAGATTGGGAGTTCTGATTCAGTCCGACATTCTAATCTAAATGCTTGGTCCACAGGAGTGACAAAAGTACAGAAGCCACAAACAGCCATGCAAATAGTACTTTAAGCAATGTCCCCACTGTAGTTCTCTCATTACAGATCTCCTTTCAAAAAGGACTTGGATACGTTAGAGTGTAACACAAGACATGTGACACATAAAACCACATTTGAGCATATGTGCGACACCAATTCCCAAACCCCAGGCATTATCTCCTTTCTATATTCCCTGATAATGCAACCCATACTCGCTCCTCCCCCTCCTTATACTCCCAAGGGGCACCTCAGCAGTGCAATATAAGAAGCTGACTGGCATCAGCTCTAGACCTTTTCCTCTAAAAGTTCTAACAATGTTCCAACCCTGGAAACGAATTACCAAACTCACCTTGAAGTGGTACATGGTTCCATCTGGGATTTCTAGGGCCATACCACACTATCCTCCTAACTGTTATAAGGGATGTCAATATCTGGTGGAACTGCCCAAAGGCAAAAAGACTTTGGTCTAGGTCTACTAAGCATAGTAGTTACTTACATAGAGACTTATTGGTGATGAGCGTGGCACATTTCACCTTCCATTTTGATACGTCTACTAGGCAGTTTATGCTGTTGTGAGCTTCAGTCATAGAGCCCTTTGAGGTTCTGTTGAATAATAAACCACAAGGGTGCACCTTAATCCACTTTAAATTACTCTATCGTATACTCAGAGCGGCCAAGAAAGCGATTGTGCATTACAGGAGGACTTCACCACTCTTGTTCATGCAATTCGCAAAAATGGTGTCACACGATACTTTCAGAAAAACTTAACGCACAACAGAATGACTCTATGGACTAAGTTCAACAAACCTGGAACCCCTACATTACAAACCTGGAACCCCTACATTACTAATCATCTCCCATCTGCTTTCAAAACAGGCTCCGTTACACTTTGAGATTACCTCAATCCCTTGATTTTCACGGAAGGAGAGGGGGCTCTGCTCTGAAGTTGTTCTGTTTCCAGGCTGGAGGCTACACCCCAACTAAAGCCCATCCTAACCCCCACTCCTTTCCATACACCATTTCGGGAGATTTAGTTAGGCCTTGTTTTTCTTACGTTAAGCTGCCGATAGCTCACTTAAATTTCAGCTGCCCTGTAAAATGCCTTCTGATACACTAAAAGGAATTAAAATAAGGATATTATAGTCCAATCAAAATAGAGCCCCATGCCACTATTATTTTTGCAGTCAATGCTTGTATACAGTATGCATGTTTTACTCTTGGACTGTATTCCCCAATACCTGCTCTTAATGTACACCTGTTAAAATAAAAATTTATTGGACGAAAATAAAAAATGGTGGAAAAGTGACTTTCTGTGCTACTCTTCTCTGATATACTAACACACTACAGAACTCTCTTAGCTGACAAGAATGCCAACTAGCACAGAGTGCTCTCCAAGTAGGTTTCAGTTAACAGAACAGATGGAGTCCAAAGAATCTTTGAATAATGGATGGAAGAAATGTTCAAGAAATGGAAGGACCCCTTTATACGATTCATAATATAACATTCTGACCCAGGTTTATGTACACTTCAGTTGGACTATGACAAAGCACATGCAGTGTAAGGCCAGAGAAAGACTGTATTCTTCAGAAAAGTAAAACCAATAACTTTACAGCCAATCACAAAGGATGCAAAAATACGGGTAATGAAACTGCCTAGAATGACGTTGGCGCAACTCCTAGAGACAACAAATCTCTGTACATTATTCTACAAACATTCTCTTTTGGCAGCAACTTTAAACTGAAAGTTACATTAAAAAAAAAATCTTTTAGCTTAAGCCATTGTGTAAGTGTTAAAAATATAAAAATGGTAACCCCAATGCTCCAGTTTATTCCTCGGTGTCCCTCACAGTTTCCCCTTTGGATGTATACACCAGCATGTGAAATGCAAAAAACTGAAACGGCACAATATTAAGATGGTCTAAAGCAGTGTAGAAAGATGGTGCGTCCTGCAACCCGCTCATTGCTCATAGTACTGATCCTGCTATACAAAAGTGCTTTATTGTGTCTTGAAGAAAAAAAAAATAAGGAAAACCAAGGGCGGCGGCAGCAGCACGTGGTAAATTCCCAGGACTGTGTGATGGCGAGGAGTCACTACGACACAGTACATACACCCTTGCGCACAAGATTGTACGATACACACAGATGATGGTGAGAATTATACTTCCTCTGCTTCTGGGTTATTGAGGATCTTCCGGTGAGCCTGACGCAGGTACTGCTGCTGCTTGAAATATACCTTGAAAGCTCCTTTTATGGCAACAAAAGCAATCCCTCCCTAAAAAAAAAACAAGACAAGGATCACGTTAAAACTGGATATCAGGCACAATATCTCGTATGCAAAATAGTTTCTGTTGTACCACCATCACAATCTCGGCCAGGCTATGGACATTTCAGTATTCACACAATCTTTACAAGCAGTAAAAAGAGGCTTTACAAGTCATTTCTGACCTATGCAGCTGCAAGCATTGTGGTGCAATTCATCTTCAAAGTTCACAGCAGAAGCATTGAAGTCATTCATATGGTTTCTCAGCAGCTCAACTCCTCTTGCTCCCTGTTCTGTGTTTATATTACAGATAGGAAGGCTGGAAGGCTGCCGAGTCTTTCCTTGGAGGGAGGAACAATGCAAGCTTAGACAGTTTCTTGTGCTTCCTGTGTGATATTTGAGGATGCATTGCTGCAGAGTGCCTTCAGCTAACTAATTTGCTGCTTGTTAAGCATATGGTGAAATTTGAAAATCCATAGTCTAGCAGTAAGTTCACTTTCAAGCCAAAATATTGTTTTCTTTTGGATATTGCAGGGCGGGGTTAAAACCCGAGTTAGGTTTTTATTGCTCTTTACGTACCTTTAGTGAAGATTCTCACTTACCATTGGTCCTGCTGATGGTTTTCACTAGCGATGCACCGATACCAGTTTTTTGATATCGAGTCTTGGTACCGATATTTTTTTCGGTACTCGCCGATACCGAAAGTCTCATTAAAGGAAGCCAGGTGGCGTGTAATGACTCGCCACCTGACTTCCGGATTAGCCAGGAAGCGTGTAAAGACTCACCACCCAGCTTCCGGATTAGCAGGGAAGCAGTCTCCATGCTTCTCGCCACGAGGTGACGAGGGAGCATGAAGCCGGCTTCCTGGCCAATCAGGAATCGGGAAGCCAGCTCCATGCTCCCATGCCACGAGGTTACGAGGTTGCATGGAGCCGGCCTTCTGGCCAATTAGGAAGCTGGCAGCGTCTAATGACTCGTTGCCCGGCTTCCTGATACCGGAAGCTTAAGTATCGGGCTCGGTATCGGAGCTAGTCTTCACCAACATACAAAGTGATGTGAAATCCAAAATTCCAAGGCTATCACCAGAATCTAAGGAAACATTTTCTAATTGGGACAATCTTTCCCAGTGACAACTGTCCAAGTGGACACGTGTATACATTTGTCCTAAGCAAATCACTTTTTGTAAATCTGTTGCAAAGTTTAATACCTGGAGATCCTTCTAGTATCAGCACTTCCAGTTGCAAGTCAACAATGCTAAATCGCTTCCTTAAAATTCGTGTCGTCAGTCTGACATGCAAGCTCCTTCAGTTAGCCATTGGGCTGCCTATCTGACAGAGCAGCATCACTTCCTGCTGCCAGCCTGCAGCAGGAAGTGCTGGTACAGGAAAGGATGCCCGTGTAGGAAACTTTGCAATAGATTCACAAAAAACTGTACACAATGCCAAACATATTGAAAAACAGATCCCGGTTTACATACTCTTTAAAAACTTCATCCAAAGCTGAAAAAAATATTTTGGCTTAAGGTGTATTTCCACTTTTGCAGGCCGCCTGAGATACCACCTACTGTATATTTGTTACATGTTCACATTGCACAACTTTAAAAATTGCTGATTGTAAGTGCTTTTTACTTGCTTTAAAATTCTACCCCCTCCCAATGTAATGTTAGGAAGGGGGCTGTGGGAAGTGACGATTACTCTAATTCACCCTGTTTTTACTGTGCTGGCAGATTTCTTTATCTGTTGTCAACTAGATTTGAACAATGTCTGTCCTAACAAAGTGTTATAGACTTAGAAGGATTGTATGTTAGAGACACTAAGCTCAGTTTGTCCTCTCTACTTTTATGTTCAAACTGCTCAAAGTAGCCTGGAATCTGCACAAAGGCCTTCACCAAAGAGACACCTGAAAGGTAAGAAACATTTGTTTGCTGTATGAATGGGAACACAAAACATATAGTGGGATTTTCTCCAATTTGACTGCAAAATTGAATATACAAGTTAAGGCCTCATTCACACAGCTAAGTGTCGGCCGGTACAGATCCGTGCGGCGTGCACGGCCGTATCATATCCTTCTCTATGGGAGGACGTGGCCGTACGCACATCCTTGCAGGTGCGGGTGTCCTTACTCGTTTGCAGACAGGATGGATGAGCATTCGGGTGAACATACAGCGGTGTACGGCCGCGTCCTCCCATAGGGAAAAACAGGCTGCTGTGTACAATCACACGTAGCACCTGTCCTTCCCGGGAACGGCCTGATATGGAATGAGTCAATGAGGCCTAACAGTATTCATTATACCACATGCACGATACGAGGATATCATGCCGCACCCACATACACACTTTTTGATGTTCGGGGAGCTGCACAATGCGTCCAAAATTGTACTCATTTTTTTTTACATTTTTAGAACATTTTAGCAGCTGCAGGTTCAAATTGAAAGGTCATTTTTAATAACATCATAAGATATTTAAAAACATTTATACCACAAAATGACTTCATTTGTTTTGTTTTTTATTATTGATGAAAGTGGAGTTTTCCTTCAATTAAACCTTAATTCATGCATAATGAAAAATATTAGTAAGAACACACAAAACACTCACCAGAATTGTCCTCTGTAGATTGGAGTTAACACTGCTGAACATCAGTTTGCCAACAATAGTAGCGATGGTGGGAAAGACTAAAGCTCCGCACAGTATGCGAGTAGCAGAGACATGATCTGCTAGAGGATTGGCCTCAGCTGGTACCCGAGGGACGGGACATCCAATTCCTAAGAGGACAGGCAGAATATGGTGAAGAGAAATAGTCCATGACATAATACATACAAGGGTCACAAAATAGGTGCCGATGTACATAACGGATGGAGTCATTCATTGTAATTAAATAATTCACATTCAGAGAAGGGGTGAGAAAAGTTAGAAGTAGCACAGCTTAAAGCCACTGCTCCATCGAATTGACAGATGCCAGTTGAGGATTTTAGAAGGGCACCTAATGCAGTTGTAATTTGGAGGGCAAAATGGAAAAGGCCTTGGGCAGCTCGAGAGCATGCTTGTGAGATTGTACCCGAGCTTGTCTGACACCACCCAGGACTCAAACAGCTGGAGCCCATTGGGGTCAAGTATGGGAAGGCCAAGTCTGCCAGCAAAGCCTGCCCACTACCCCATTATTACCATACAGCTAGAAAATAATAATCATGACACTTTAAACCATCATTAGTAACTAACAAAGCAATGACACCAACTACTAAAGTGACCCTTGTCGCTACTAAAAAAATAAAATAAAAAAAAAAAAGTAACTTTCCTGTGGCCGGAGTATTAAGTATTTGCTCTCGAAGTGCCCTGGATGCCGCTAAAATCCGACATTTCCAGCTGTGTCAGATGATGTATCCTCTTCGGGCCCGGTGGTCTCCCCTGGTGACTCCTATGTCACTATTATGACCCACA